AAACTGATTTAAATAATGAGCAGCAAAATGAAATAACTAAACTTACCTTGTGTGGATCGAGAAGAAAGTCGCTGAATTTGCTGGGCAGGTTAAATTTTTTCACCAGTTCATCTTCAACCACCCAGGGAGCACTTTCTCCCATGCCCAGCCTTAGAGCATAGTGTCGGATGAAGTAGCGCATGATCTCCTTGGTTGGAGGACGCTCTGTTCTATAAAGACTGTCCGCTGGGACGTCACAGATCACCTATGACACATGTTGGAAATTTAGAGTCCAGTTTTTCTTAAAACCACCAAGTCTATTGTCCACAAGTATATGAACCTTACGTATAACCTTTTATAGTCTAAAAATAGAACACACTCCACACACCATTTCTTGAGTGATGATGTAATAAAACAAAACAAACCTTGTCCTCATTGATGAGCTTTACATCATACTTATGAGGAAGGAATTTAGGCATTGCCCATTTCTTCCTCTCTTCTTTCATGGCAGTGGGTAGTTTTCTTGGTGAACGTCGTGCTCTGTCACCTAAAAGGAAGCCAAACATCATATATTGAACAAATACTGTATAAATAAACAATTTTAACCTGCTTATTCAAGCAGCATTTACAACATGTTCTTAATTTTATCCACAATGCAAGATTTCGCTTCTTAAAACTAATTGACACTCACTCAGACTCTCCCTCCTGTTCTCCTCTCGGGGAGGAGGCTCCTTCCTCTGGTTTTCCTGGCTTGCGTTCTCCTTGTCGCTGGATGGAGAGTCACAAGCACCTTCAAGTTTCTTTTCCCCGGACTCACCCTCTGTGTTTTCCAAGGGGTGGATCTTTACCACTGTCACTCGCAAACTTTTCTCCTTCCCCACCTGAAGCCAAGATGTAAGATTTGACATTATATGAAAAATTTTACACACACACTATAACGTTTAATGCAGTAAATTATCAGGTTACAAAAAAAAACAAAAAAACAAAAAAACACTGACAATATTATAAGATTGACATTACAGACAAGTTTAGAAATGTAATAAGAGTAAGCTGTCAAACTGACCAGGAAGTCGCACTCTTCATCCACGGCATATTTGGTGAGGATTTCCACCCAAGCCATCTCAACCAGTTTGTCTAAAGACACTGTGTTGTGGTGAACCATCTCAAGGACTGGTTTCTCAAACCACTTTGGATACTCCTCTTGAAGCCTGCACACACACACACACACACACAATGTGATCAATGGTTAGTTTATAAAAAGGTAACAAATGTGACACCGTCTTGCAGCTCCATCGTTCTCTGTTCATAGGGGTTGTGATGCTAACACAGAGTTTATCATCACATGATTTGTTTTACTTTGCTTAGATCTGCAGTGCAGAAATCAACCTGTGATAGACACACCGTGACCCTAAACTGTAATAAGCAGAAGAAAATAGATGGATGGATTATTTGCCGAGGGTTGCCAGTAGGGGGAGTAGTTTCTCTTGGCTGACATAATTAGAGCATAAATACTGTACAGCTCATGATCCCGACTTACTTCAGCTCTGGGCCGCTGAGCACTGCTCTTCCCAGTCTCTGCTGTGACATCTCTTTGGGCCATATTTATTTTTTTGTTCTCTCTCTTGCTAAAAGGACATCGTGATCCCATATGCCAATACATATTTCAAGTCAAATGGACTGAAAGAGATGAGTTGAACCATTTTATTATTTTCCATAGGTTTTTCCATTTGCAGATCAGGATAAAGGAACTCAGGCCCTTGCAGATTCAAGGATGACTGAGTCACTCGCTCTCTAAATAGACTGAGAGGAGGAGCACAAGATTTATCCAATCATAGCAAAGCAGTAAGCCTTGTGACCTTCACTGGGGTTGTATGGTTCCCTTCTTTGTTGATACCATGAACTTCTGTTAGGTGACTACTCTGTATTTCTTGCACAGTCCTTCCACATAAGTAGGTGTGGTTTTTACAATCAGATTTATGCAAACCAGGTTTTACTGGACATCTGAATACAAAGGGCAGGACGTAAAGAATTGAATCTGTGCATTTTCACTCACTCAACAGCCTTTATTAAAAGTGCATACTCTGTTTGGTCTGAAATCAGCATAGTAGACCAACAGAGCTTTCACAAGTTAACATGGAATAATGAATGTGCATGTGCAACACTGTGGATGTAATACTAACAGTTCGGTGACTTCTTGTTCCTCCTCCCATGCCTCTTTGTGAGTGAGCTGGCTGCTTCCAGTGCTCTTGCATGTCCAAATGCGTTCACTATATCTCTGTAGGCGGGCCTCGTACTCTCTGTGTACATTCGGTCAAGGAAGTTACATCATCCAAATGTTTTCCTATTTAGGGTTTTGTTTACGCACAACAAGCAAGATGCAAGTCAATAAAATTCCATCATGACATTTAACATCACTGAGCATAATGAGAGGTCAAGAGACACCCAGCATAAACAAATTTCAAAACAAATCATCTGTGAATAGTCCTGTCCTAACAAGACAAGGAGAGGGTTAGGGACGGGAATGAATAATGATTTCAGAGAAAGTCAGAAAGATCAGTTGGACGCTGTGTAATGGAGTATACTACATTTCCATGGGTACTCTAACAACATACCAAGTCAAATTCCCCTAGATGGGACTGTTTGACAGCGTAGTGGTTCACAAAGCTTTATTAAGACAATAAAAATGGATAATAGAGTTTAGACACCCACATAAAGTCAAATATCATAATCGATTATCCATATCAGCATATTATGGACACTTAACACTAGCTACGTGTGCCACAGCAGGTTTCATAACCTTGCTGACAGTCGTGGACCTTTAAGAGCTTAAAGCGTTCATGTGAACGTTTTAACAACGTGGTAAAGTTGTTCAATTGTGACAACAGAAGAAACCAAGCTAACAACAAAATGCTGTCATAAGTCACTGGACACATTTCAGTCAGCCCAAAATACGAAAGTAAGTTAAAGCGAAACGGACTCTGAGAGGCTTCTGTGCTAGCATTACCAGCTAACACATTACCAGCCGGGGAGCGGCGTCAGTCTGGGCTATTGTGACATAATGGGATACCTAACGTTAGCAACTGGCTAGCTCACCCTGTTAGCATTGCCAGCAGAACCGTAAAACATGAAAGTGAAAGACTCCTTTTCGCCCTTCTCTACAATGACGTGCTATTTACAGTCATATATTTAGCTCGGTTAGGTAAAAAGCTAACTAATAGCTAAAATTATTTAATTACCAGAAACAGCGGAGTGTTAGCTAGCCAGCCTGTCAACCCAGAGTAAACTGTGTACATGCGGGGAAACACTTAACGGGGGAGAAATGTCAGGTAACGTCAAATTCCTTGCTTTAGCCAGCTTTATAGCGTTCTACTCGTGACTATGGGCACATCAGTTCAGCTAACCAAGACAAAGCCCGCTATCCAGTCTATCGACTGGCTCGATAAGTCGAGACTGATAACCAGCATCATGTTAAAGGATACTCTTTGTTCCTGAAGGCCTCCTTGGTGTGCTCGATGATGTAGACCTCCTCTCCCGGGCCTGGTGGCTCGGCTAGCGGCTTAGCCAGCGGGTACGGTTTCCGGCCCAAAAGCGGTGCCATTTCAAATCCAGAGATGGCACAAGTGCCGAAAGTAAAAAAAGATTTTCTAGCAACAGACTAGCGCAATAGTACACAATGGTATGTCCTTTGCATGTATCCCAGTATTAAAAATGTCAGAGCCGACAGATAGCACGTCTCACGTTACCGCCGGCAGGCCCGGCTCTCAGCGTGTAGCAGCTAGCTTTCTAGCTAGCAGGCTGGGTTATCTCGTTGCAAAACAATAACAGTGCGCCGCTTCTCGCCGCCGGACTCATCGCACCATCCTTTGCTCTTCTGGAAGTGGTGTCAGGCTATTTTTTACGCTGCACCTTAGGTAGAAAACACGCTGGCAAACGTGTCCCCGGACTCAGTTGTTAAAGTTCAGCACCTTCGGGTGAACGTGAAAGGATGCGAACCGCACCAAAATGAAACTCGCGGTAACCGTCAGTCAACAGCAGGTCTGGCGGCTGTACAGTCCCGAGCAAGTGTTCGCAAATTAGGCCTGCTCCCTTTTAAACTGTACTCGCTGCATGCTCTGAAGCTCCTTGGCGTCAGGTAACAGCGTGAGCAAGCGTTGCAAGAAAGTAACCTGAATCAGCTAAGAGGAGGTTAATTCCCTGTCGAAATGGCGGGAGTTTTCAGTCCACCGGCACTGTGCCTCATACCCTCAGAACTCTGTTTCCCCGGTAGCAAGCAGCGTCGCGCGCATGTCCCGCCCCCTCTTCGCTTTCACTGGCTGTCTCGCTGAAGCGCCATCGTCAAATTTGCCTGCAGGTTTCTCAGTGGTTGAATTGTCCTGTCTATTCTCAGTCTTTTCCGATAAACCACGCCCTCATATAATATACATGAGGCAATAGGGTCAGCTGATGACAATAAAAATTATATAAACCGTTGAAATCAGCACTCTTAAATCATATTTGAATAGACTGAACATGGGTTTTGTCGATATCTAACGAGGAGCTGTCTTGTTCAGTTATCGAATTAATTTTTAAAACCATTGTCTGGACTCCATTTTGAATATGCTGATTAAACAATAGGTTACCCACTACTGGGATTCCTCATGGTGAATAAATCCTTACTTTGCAGGATCTTCTTCGTCTTCAGCTGCTTCCTTTAGGGGTCGCCACAGTTAACCATCTCACCCGATCTCTAGCATACTGCTCTGTGAAGCCAGCCCCTCTGCATGCCTTCCTTAATTACGCAAAACTTACTCTGTGCTCTTCCTCTTTTCCTCCTGCCTGGCTGCTCCATGTTAAACATACATTATTCAGTTTATTTACTGTGTCTTCTCTGCATTTCCAAACTGTCTCAGTTTTGACTTTCTAAATGCTCAGCCTGTCCACGCTGTTCACCCCCAGCGACAATCTGAGCATCTTCTGCTCTGCCACCTTTTGTTAAAATGCATTTTGTTAGAGCCATCGTCTCCAAACCATACTTCAGTGAGTTAAAATGAACAGTCGCATTTATTATGATTTACAAAATGTGTTCAGTTATAAACATGGGCAAATAATATTATAGAGCAATATATATATAAAAAAAATCATATTCTTGCATGTGATAAGCCAAAAGAAGCTTCTTTTTTTTAAAAGGAGGGCACTGTATTTAATACACAATGGCACATCTAAAAACAGCAATTTGCATAAAGCTTCACAAATAACACCTTTTCAAAATCGCCAATAAACCTTCAGAATAAAGCAACAGCGTATGGAAACATGCATCATTTCAGCTGCGGCTGCCAGGAAAATCAGACATTTACAGCAACTGCATGAAAATACACAAAGCCTGCGAAATACAGTTCAAAATGCCCCCCCCCCCTCCTTTTCAAGATGAAAAACGAAACACAGCATGACTTCAAATATCAATTCAAGTAGGGGGAAAATAGAAGATTTTGCAGTTAATACACATTTTCTTAAAAGCTGAATTTAAAATAAGCAATATTTGCGTAAATATATGAAGAGATCCAGAATAATTGTCAAAGCTTTGCTAATCTCACAACAACTGAGGACATGTTTTGTGTGCATTTTGACAAAACGATCATAAATAAGCTATCTCAGAACAGCGTTCTCTCCTGTGCAAATCTTCTTTAAGGGAGGGGCTCCTGATTCATCCAGTTCCTCCTGTTCAATGAAAAGAAACACATTTAATTAGACTGCAATAATTTTAGGAATGATTTAACAAAGGAACATGCTTTTTGGTCTTCTTTGAGCTCATTTTTTAACGCACCTGGGTGTCTGGGGTGCTCCGTCTGACAGTTCCTGATGATAGAGGGTCCTCCTTGATGAGAGTGGGTGGCTCATCTGTGCCCTCCTGTCCTGAGTGAACTGGCTCTGCATCATCAAGGAGGCAGCGAGATTATATACTGATTATTAAAGCTTTCACAACCGTCACAACAAATGCGATGCAGTGCGTGTTATCCACATACCATCCACGCTCTCCTGGCCGAGCATTGGAGGCTGGGAGTCTTCAGCTCGCAGGCTGGAGGCATGAGGAGGGCTGACCTGCTGCGAGCTGGAGGTGCTGCTGCTGTTATCCATTTTAGGCTGGTAAACGTCCGACAGAAAGCTCTGGTTGCTGTTTTCATCTGGCGCGGAGAGGAAGGGAAAGGCACGGAACATGAGGTTACAGCTCTTACAGCATTTTTGGAATATATATTACTGTGCATTAGTCTCAAGCAACCTCTCATTTCTTTATGAAATGAGAAATAGGTCCAGTGAATTACCGTGACATATGCAAACATACATGAAACTGCAACTGAATATTTGGTATGACCACCTTTAGAACAGTACTGTTACTAATTTCTTTTAGATTGTTGTTTTAATTTAGACAGCATTAAGTACAAAACAAGTCAGCAAACCTTTTAAAAAATATTTTTAAAAGCCTTCAAACATACCAGTAAAATCCAGTAGAGAGTTGGTGTTTTCCAGGACCACATCTTTCAAGCCTCTAACTTCTCCACCGGTGGATTTGGTGCGATATATCTGACAATGGAAGTGCAATTTGTCAGTTTCAAGAAATGTGAGCAAAAAAAGGTTATTAAAAAAATAAGCTACACATGACAAAAGGCCCACACCTGCTTTGTTTCCGTCACTGGCACCCACTTGAATATACGTAAAGACGTGTCACCAACTGTCACCCATTTCTTCTCCCTGGGGATGTGATTAGTTTGATTACATTGAGACAGGAGCTCAGCAAACATCTTCCGCTTTCACCTGGTCCACAGCCTCAGTCTCTAACATGACATGCAGCATACACGCTCACGTTTTCTCTCTCCAACAGCACACAATGGACAGCTGCACAAATATCACAATGTGCCCACTAACAGGCATCGCTCACAGTGCAGGAGAGGGTTAAAACCCCCGGGGAAACGTCCGCGGGGGTTTTATGAATTACACTGTAATTAGACTAACGGGACAGCGAGCCGGAATTAGCCGCGCGCCGCATGTCAGGCTGAAGCCATATTGACAGCTCTCGGCGGAAAAACTCAGCTAGCCCCGCCCCCTCTGTCAAACTGGGGCACGGGTTGGTCGGCGTCTCCGTCAATCATCTAACTTTTCCGACTGAAGTTTGTTGTGCGACGCAGCAGATATCGGGCTTCGGTCTACTAATACCTTTCCCTCCATATTGTCCCCCCGCGGATCGCTTACGTACCATTTGCGCACTTTCTCGATGGCCGCTAGCACCTTTTTGATGTCGTCTTTAGCCCGACTTCGCGTCTCAGCGCGGCCCGATCGTCCCGACATCTTGATGCTGTTATGATTCATCTACAGATGCATCTGAAAACTTCAAGACCAAGCCCCAGTCCTCCGTTACACTGGTAATCTCGCGAGATTCATTCGTCACATTTTTTTCTCCCTTTTTTGTCAGCTTCATTCTGACACCTTATGTTCACACTATATATATAATGTACTGTAAAGACAGGCTGGGCACGTTTGATTTTATTCGTCTTTTTTGTCCATTATCCATCCCTTCTGACTATAGTGGGGGTTTCTATTTAATGTACAGTTTATTCAAATGCTGTACTTAATGACAGCTTTGAAGGCTGTAAAGTGAGACGTGGGGATTTTGTTTTCACATTAAAAAAGGCATTCTCCTAAAAAAATAAAAAATAAACCCAACATGTTGTGGGGTTGTCCCCCTGTGCAGAACCCCTGTCATCTTTAAAGTGAGTTGTTAGCAGCTCTACTCAAAACTACACTGCTGTGCAAAAGTCTTGAACCACCCCTTATTTCTTTATATTTTGCTTCCAAGCAGCCAGACTTTCTTGTCAGTTTTTACCAGTGGTCTTTAGGAATAGCTCTCCAAGCTTTCTGAAGATCTTTCAAGCTCATTGGGAATCAGCTATTAGGTCCAAACTGTGTACTTAAAAAAATGGAGGAAACTGGAGAAGTGGAAGCCACCACCTAGGATCTAATGTTCGCTGGAGCCTCATCAGACATGGTCTCAGTGGAAGGGTGGTTGCTATGAGGGGAAACAGGGAGAAGTATCAAAACCATTGTCTGATTTTGATCCACCATACGTAGCACCTGGAAAACATCTGATTGGCAAAGGCTACCTATTTCAGCATGACAATGAGCCCAAACACACAGCCAACAAAGAAAAAGCATGCCTGTATAGAAAATCACACCGCGGAATGCTATGAGTCATGGATCGGCCTCCCCAGAGCCCGGATCTCAATGTTACTGAAGCAGTGTGGGATCATTGTTAGAGAGGATGGAACAAAAGTCAGCCAACATCCAAATAAGAGCTTTGAATGTCCTTCAAGAAGCCTGGAGAACTATTCTGGAAAACCACTTACAGATTATAAGAAAGCTTGTCTAAGAGAGTTTAAAGTTCACATATTGACTTTTAAGCTCATTAGATTTGTACAAACTGTGTTAACGATACAAATTAAAAACAAAGCAAATAAAATCCTCTCAGAACATCTTGGATCCACTGCCGTAAATAATTACGTTTATAGTGCATAAAGCTCTTTTCTTTGCTTTTGTATTGATTTTTGTGAACTGAATTAGCGTCTTTGTATGTACTTGTTCCCACATGTAATCAACAGAGGGCAACTTTGAGTCAGGCATTAGCAAACCTGCTCCTCCCGGCCCTCAGGGGACACAGAGCAAAGGTTGTCAGTGTGTTGATTTATTGCTGAGATAGGAAGGAATCACTGACAGGAAATTATCCTTTGTTTCTTTGCTTGTCATCTGCAGATAGTAAAGGAGCAGAAGCAGGCCCAGCTTCTCTTTAAGCAACTTGTTTTCACTCTACCAAGAATGAAACTAGAAACATTGTGACAACATTGTCAAGTAATGTGAATATTTTATTTATTTATGCAAGTCTGTTAACACTATCATCTTTTTAGTAAGAATGAACATAAATAGATTAAAGCCTTTTTTTTTTAGTTAACATCAGATCAGTGACCGAGAGAGTTACAATAAACTGGATGCTGCCTAGAAAAAATAATCTCAGCGATGAAAAATCTGTATCTTAGTCTCAGACTAAACATTTCTGTGGTGTACGTTTCCAGAATCATCACATTGAATATTTTCTTTTAGTGTTTCTATATCTGTTTGACAGGACATGATAAGACAGCTGAATGTGGGGAAGGCCACAGAAAAAGAAAAATGTCAACATATTAACTGATGGCGTGGGCGGGGACTGCTAGAGCTTCAGCCAGTGGCTAACAACACAGGGAGGAGTCCCAAGGCCGTTACTAGAGAAAATATCCAAATAACAGCCCAGCATGCAGCTGAAAGTTGTCATGGTACCTACAATGGCAGCAACTTCCTGCCACGACTTTGTGATTAAAGGCTTTTCATTTTTCAGAGATTGTGAGGTTTGCACATCAGCGTTGATGACGAACACTATGAGTCAGGTGAATTTTGTGCTTTTATTTACACACAATACCACACATGGACGTCCATCAGTTTACTCAAAGTTGTTGTCATCCAGAGGGAGCACGTACTCCTGGCTTAAAATGCATAATATAATATTTAACTTTGGTTCATATTTAATTTTTTTTTAAAGCAAAAACATGACAAGTAACTGGTTGAAGAAATATCTGCTTTTAAAAGTAAAACTAAAATATTTTGATCTTTGGCCATTTCATTGGGTACACCTGTTCAGCTGCTTGTTAACATTTACTTAATCAGCCAATCGCATGGCAGCATCTCAGCGCACTTATGCATGTAGACTTGATCAAGATGGTCTGCTGATGTTCAAACTGACCATCAGAGGGAAGAAGAATGCTGATTTAAGTGACTTTGAATATGATGTTGTTGTTGGTCTCTTTAACGAGATGCTGAGCTATTGGGATTTTCTTACACGACCATCTCTAGAGTTCACAGAGAATGGTATGAAAAAGAGAGCTCAGAGGAGGATGGCAACACTGTTTCCAGCTGATAGGAAAGCAAAAGTAACAACACTTGTTTACAACCAAGGTACCATGCAGAAGAGCGTGTCTGAATGCACAACATTCAGGTACAGAAGAAGACCACACTGGATGTCACAAAAAACTCAGACTCACCAGAGAGAAATGTTCCCTCGTGTGATGAGTTGTTGGATCAGAGTTTAGCATAAACAACATGAAAGCATGGATCCATCCAGCCTTGTATTAACTGCTCAGACTGCTGGTGGTGTAATGATGTGGGGGATATTATTATGTTGGCACATTTCTGACCCCTTAGTCCCAAGTGAGCACAACTTCACAAAGCTTAAATAATCTCAAACTGGTTTCTTGAATGAATTCGCTGTATTCAAATTGCCTCCACAGTCACCACATCTCAATCTAATAGAACACCTTTGGGATGTGGTGCACAAGGACATTCTCATCACTGATCTGCGGTGTGATGCTGTCATGTTAGAATGGAGGAAAATCTCTAAGGGATGTTTCATACACCTTGTTGAATCTTTGCAAACAAGAAATAAAGGCAGCTCCGAAGGCAAAAGAGGGTCCAACTCGGTGCTAGCATGGTGTACCTAATAAAGTGACCAGTGAGTGTATATTCACAATATAAGCTGTAAGTTAAAATATAAGTAACAGCTGAGTCCACATGTGAGATTTACGTCCTCGCTAGCTGTCGGAATTTGGGAACTTTAGTTTGAAAAAGTGAAAGCGGAAGTGAGCCCTTAGCGGTGAGCTTGTGCGCGAGCTTTACGTTGGTGCCGCTCAGGCTGCTCCTGTCATTGACTGGGGTGGTGTTGGTGGTGGACGCAGAGGCCAAATGCTTCTGTGAACGGGGGCGACGAGTCCAGCAGCGCAGCATGGACGGCTGCCCGCCATAGTTAGCGCAGTTCGGAGTCTACTTCACTGTAGCCTAGAGAACGATTATAAGCTAAAAGCCTCTCTTTCTGTTTTTCCACCCCGCTGCTGTTTGTTCTTCTTCTGCCTCAGACGACAATGGATCGAGTAAAAAGCTCCATGCAGCAAGTCCCCAACGCTATCCCCAAAGTGATCCGACGGACCGGAGGAGCCAACAGCCTGGAGCTGGAGAGGGAAAACTTTGAAAGAGTGCAGGTACGGAGCACAGGAGGTCACAGTCATATAATAACGTTATTCTGCCGAGAGTGTGGGATGGAGGTCCCGGGCTGAGAGCCTATTTATGTCGCTGGTGGGAGGTTTTTAAAAAGTCATGTCAACTTAAACTATGCACAGCACTGTGTCACTATTTCTCTCCGTCTGACGCGAGAGAAGGAAATGACACGGGAGCCAGATTTTTCCTTCATCCTTTTAAACGAGTCACCGTGTGACAGCTGAGTCGATCAGGCCTACCCCGTGTTTGCTTTGCTTTCTTTTCTTTCTTTTTTTTGGATCCACATTGTTGTCACCTTCCCACACGTCTGTCTGAGATCAGCAGACACAAAACGAGCCCACTGTACAACAAAAGAGCTGTGGAGATGTGGGTCAGTGGCCTTTTGAATTCAGATAACTCTGTTGCATAAAAAAAGCACACAGGAGGGGGGCTCAGTGGAGCTGTATCATGTATGTAAAGTGCATCTGAAGCCCTGCATTTAAGGCAGGACCAGGGATGAGGATGAAAATGGGTGAAATTGTAAAACCAAGGTAACTGACTGTCTTCCTTCCTTGTGTTTAGTTTTCATGGCTGCTGATGAATAATGAATGTTGTGTGTCTTTAGTCAGATATATATATATATATATATATATATATATAAGCAGGCTCCATATGCGCTGTGGAGCCTGCTGCTTCCTGCTTGGTGGTCTCCCCTCCCCTTGCCCCGGACCAGGCGCAGAGGAGGGAAAGCGGTGGGGGAAAGTAGGTCAGATGAATCAAGGCAGCGTGGTAGTGCTGCAACATGCTTTTCCCAATCCACTCCTGCTGCTAAAATCGGACAGTACAGTCCACACAGCCTAAATGTGCACAGTAGGTATTTGACCTCGCTGCCTCTAGACGGTCTCAACCAGTCTGGCCCCCTCTCCGCCAGCCCGTCGCAGCAGCAGTATGGATTAAAGTTGGGGAAAGACGCATGCGTAGCTTTGTGCATCTCGAGCCAATCCTGGTCACTGGGTCACTGTCAGGCTCCTGAGATCACACCCTGCGGAAGGTGCCAGCATGGCAACGTAATGCAGGCACATAGTTGCTCCAGCTTCCGAGGAAACTGGAGGGGGAAGTGAATGTGTCTGAGCAGAAAGGTGTTTTTGTCTTGCTCTTGTGTATCTCCCATTAAAGGAGGGTGAAAATATTCAGGCAAGCTTTAACAAGCCCAAGTTTGATCTGTTGTCGGCAGATCGTACTACTGTTTTCGTACCAATGTAGTCAGTTTCTGCCTCGTAAAGGTGTAATTTTTAAGATAATACTCA